AGCAGCCTGTTCCTGAACCAGCCTCCCTGCCTCCCCTGCCCACACACAGGCTGCAGCCATGTGCTCTGGAGCCCCTTGTGCTTCGTGGCTGCCTGTTATTGAAACAGGCAGCTCCCACTGGCCAATGTCTGGGATTGTGCTGAGGGCAGGAGCAGCTCCTAAAGCTTTGTCTCCTCCCCTCTGGGCTCAGGTTTTAAAGTGCATTTCTGAGCGGTATACAAGTGGGGCAAGGCAAGCAGAGAGCCTGCCTGGGGCTCCCCACAGCATCCGTGGGCTGGATCTGATGGTGTGGCGGGCTGGATCCAGCCTGCAGGCCGTATGTTGCCCAGGCCTGCTCTAAGCTATGCGGCTACACAGCAGCCTATCTAGGGCTATGCAGGTGCTCAGGGCTGCAGAGGGAAAAGATGCTTTTCCTGCCGCCCTGGCCCTGCTGTGGCCAGGGAGAAGCACCTCCCCCTTTGCACTGGCCCCAGCTCTGCTGTGACAGGGAGAGGTGCTTCTTCCCTGTAGCCCAGGTGCTGCTGTAGACAGAGAGGTGGATTGCCTGTGTTGATTGAAAAAAACGCTTCCACTGTTGTAACAAATGTCTACACAACATTTCTGTGTTGTAACATGCCACTCTTCAGGCCACAGTCCCAACACAATGTTCTCAGGACAACTTACTGTATATTTCCCACCATCAAAAACATTATCCATCATACTGGACAATCACAATTTAGATTAGTGAGGCATAGGATCTTGATTGCATTAATCCTGTGCCACATTTTGCCCTGTGCATGAATTTGCATATCTGCAGAAGGAGTCCCTAGGCTGATGGAGGACACATGGAACCTGAGATATCATAGCTTGAAAGTTTTAGCAACACAAATCGGGCATAGCTTGGCATGCCAGCCTGCTAATATTACTAGCATCAAAAGGAGCACTACATCAGATGAAGAGTTATGATACTGACATAAACTGTGACTAGGATCAAAAGGAAACAGAACAATCTTGTGAATTTTAATGTGAAATAAAAAGAGCCATAGCACCAAGCATCAAAACTATGGAGGTGAAAACTCTAGGTGCTTGGTATTATAAGCGGCAACTGGACCATCCTCAAACCTAGGACTAAGAATCCAGTTTCAGTACTTTTAACCCAACCCATTTGCACCCACAAATCAGCAATCTTGTCTGACCGTGTGGGATCATCCCTGGTAGCCAGGGCCCTTCCTCTCCGCCCTCATGCTGAAAGGGGACAAACCATAGGGTATGTTGCACCATTTTACCTCTTGCACTGTGTCTTCTAGAAGAGAAAGGATGCCCTTCTTTCCTTGCTGGTGGTGGCAGTTGGGTATGATGGAACTACCTCACTGCTGGATCCAGCCACGGTAGTTCTATTCATTCCCAGAACTTAAGGACTTAAAGACAGCCATACTGGATCAGACCAAAGGTCCATCTAGCCCAATAACCTGCCTTCTGACAGTGGCCAATGCCAGATGCCCCAGAACAGTTAATCATCAAACAATCCATCACCTTTTGCCCACTCCCAGCTTCTGACAAATAGAGAGTAAGGACACCGTTCTTGCCCATCCTAGCTAATAGACTCTGATGGACCTAACCTGCCTAAACATGCCTAATTCTTTTTTAAACCCTGTTAAATAACTTGTTGCCTATTCATTTCATTTGGTGACCCCGTACTTCTTGAGGTATGAGAAGGAATAAATAACATTTCCTTATTTACTTTCTTCACACCAGTCATGATTTTATAGATCTCTATATTCCCCTTTAGTCATTTCTTTTCCAAAGTTGAAAAGTTTCATAATCATTCCTCATATGTTCTATTACGGTTGCTCTTTTCTGATTTTTTTCCAATGCCAATATATCTTTTTGAGTTGTGGTGAACAGATCTGCATGCACTATTCAAGATGTGCGTGTACCATGATTTACAGAGGGGCAATATGATATTTTCTTATTGTCTACCCCTTTCTTTATGATTCCTAACACTGTTAGCCTTATTGACTGCTGCTGCACATTGAATGGATGTTTTCACAGAATTTTCCACAATGCCTCCAAGATCTCTAAGTAATAACAACTAACTCCATCGTTTTATATATATATAACAATTATATACATGTACAAATACGCACATATATATGTTTTCCAATGTGCATTACTCTGCATTTATCAACACTACATTTCATTTGTGATTTTCTTTTATACCTCTGGGGGCAACCCAGAATGTATTGCCCTGCAGGACCGTGGGGTTATGAGGTTTCAGGCCTGCAGTGCACTTGAAGAGGGAAAAAAGCCATAATGCCAGAATCCAGAGGGAAGTACCTCGTCCAGTCTCCCCATCACCACCACACACACTTGCTATGAGTCCAGAAAAGCTGACCTCAACTTTATAAAACTTTATAAAAGCAACAAACATGCAGCCCCCAAACTGTTATCCATGGTACTCCTTCTGGTGGCCACAAGCTGCAGTCTCCTCCCTCTCCTCTCCAGCTCCTTTTACAGACCTCTGGGTACTTCAGTGTATGGGAGAGGTTGGAGGCCTATGAAAGTGGGTAGCAAGGAGGAGGAGCCAATCAACCTACTATTAGTAGGAGCTACTGCTACACAGGAAGAGAAAGCAGCAGCTGCCCTATAGCCCCCAAGCCACCAGTGGGATGGGAGCTATTTGCCTCTCTAAATCATAATCATTGTCCATATTAACAATTATCTGACTGTGCCACACAATCCTTGTAGGAAAGCATCTGCAGGTAGCAGAAACCTCAAAGAGAGTTTCCCAGTGGAGTCAATTTAGTTACATATGTAACATACAAGAAGGGCACTGGGTTTACTCACCTAATATAAGAAAGCATAAAACAAGGGGACTGCTGTTCTCTTGATTCCTGGAAAGGTTATGTAGCTACATCTCCTTGTGTTCAGAGAATAGAACCCATGCCAATTTAAAATCTAATGCGAGTAATGCAACCCCCTGCCTCACATATACACACTGCTGTTAGATGCCCTGGTCCCTTCTCTCTGTAATGTCTGGCATTATTTTTTTACACTTCTACCCAGGATGAGACATGATTTAGAACAAGAATGATTCCCTGTGCCATTTTATAGTCTGGTAACACAGTGGATTTTCAGATGGGCAGCACCAACTTGCTTCTAACTGAATGTTGGTACTGTCAGCTGCTGAATGCACAGATGCTGGCACCTTGACAATTTAGGAGAAAAAATAGTAAAAACTAAAGAATTAGTATCTTCTCCCTTTTTTTCATTATCACCAGCTGTGGCAATTCAATTATCTTTTTCAACACCAAATCTATATACATGCATTATCTGATAGTCAAAAAGCAGGTTTTGAGGGCTTCTTTGTGACCGAGCTAGGAAGACTGTATAATACCAAAAAGCAGGTTTTGAGGGCTTCTTTGCGACCGAGCTAGGAAGACTGTATAATATGCAATGCATTAATATGACAAATACTCAGCTTATTTACATTGCTTCCAGGGCTAATGGAAGAGTTGCACTAAATAAGGCACTTTTGTTCTAGTCATATGAACAATCTGGGTCAAGCATTTTATGCCTAAATTAATCGCACAAGATAAAGCAGACATGAAAAGCTGTGAATATGTATGTTCACTCCCAACATGCCACTTCAGTAAATCAAGTTATGTCTTGCCACATCAGGACTTGTAAACATCAGGTGTGCCCCCAATGTGTAAGAGGAGATGGCATATAACCTGACTTAGCCTCTGCATTAATTATGTTAGTACTAAGTCATTTATATAAACAACGGCGGTTGCAAAGCACCCAGTTCCAAAAGGGATTAAAACCACACATCAGAATTTTTCATCTCCACTTAGGACTGGTTACTAAAGTCAGACACTAAAAAGCTAGATGGTAGCTAACCGCATGACAGAAAAGGTGGTCCCACAGGGAGCATGGGAGTCAGAAAACCTACACTCTACTCCCTGCACTGCCACACACTTCTTGCGTGACCTTATATTCTCTGAGCCTTAGTTCTCTATTCATAATATGGGAATGAATGGCGCAGCAATACTACCTCAGCAGGCGTTCTGGGAGGATAAACACATTAAATTGAGAGGCACTCAGATACTATGGTAATTGGTGCCATATTAAGTACTTTTGATAGAGGGAGAGCTTCATCATGAATGCTTCCACCTATCTCAGAGCCTCCTGATAATCCTGAAACGTGGGTATTTTACATCTTGCATACTTCTGATTAAAATAGAAAGGACTGTCATAAGACACACTGTTTAAACAAAGAGGCAGCATAATCTAGGGCAGAAATTCTCCAACTGGAGGTCGTGACGACCCCATATGAGTCATGGGCCATCAGATCCTTGGGGCTGAAAATCCTGAGCCTTCGTTCAATGGAATTAAGCCTTCCGGTTTTTAATTTATAAGGGGGATCACACTCTGAGGCTTGCTGTGTCAAAAGGGCTTGTCAACACAAAACGTTTGAAAGCCACTGGTCTAGCAGCTTGAGCAGAATTCTCATCTCAGTTCTCAAAAGAGTTCATCACGCCCTTGGACAGGACACTCCTCTGCCTTCATTTCCACATTTGGAAATGCCTTCATTTCCACCCATCTACCCTCCTCAGGATTATTTGTAAAGCACCTTGAAAAAGTAGAGTTGCTACAGTTTGTTGGTGCGCGTTATCATTAAGCTTTAATAAAGATGTTTTTGTGTTTGGTTTTCAAACTTTTAAACACACGTCTGCCTTTTTCTTGCTTCGTATGAATGTCAATCCACATCCAGGACAGAATGTTTTTTAAGCTTTGCCCTGGAGTTTGTCAGCTTGGGATATAAATTGTTTCCTGCTCAAGAATGCCTAGCGGACATCATTACCACAGGACCAGTGTTCCCTCTAAGCTGCGTGGCAGCAGAGCTTCACAGGTGATTAATCAGCCCTGCCTAGTCAGAGATTCATGGCTGATTAATCGAAGCTGTGATGCTGCAGAGCTTAGAGGGAACATTGCACAGGACCATTATAGATGAATACCTCAGTAGTTCCTCTGTGTCCTCTTTGAGACTGGTGCTTAGTGCATAGTCCTGGTTCTCATAGGCCGTTGGCAGCAGGAGTGAGTCGCCTAGTTTAACAGTCCCACCAAGGTCTGGGTCTTCAAATAACTTCAGATCTAAAGAATGAATCATGAGAAAGCTTTAGTCAAGTGTCAACTACATCACCAATATGACAGTTGGCAGGGGAATCAAGCTGTGTCAGGAAATGTCCTGTAGAAAACTTGTTTTTATTAAAAGCCTTCTGTATTTAAAGTAAAAATCCACAAAGTGCTAAGAAATATATTCTTGATACACTGCACTAGCAGGAGCTGTTGGTTTTACTCACCCCTCAACATCAGCTAGACAACTACCGACCCCTAACAACTGAGGGTTCCAAAGGCCTAAAGAGTAAGCTATTGCAATGGCAAGCCGTGTTTATTTGCACCTCTAGCTAATTTACAACTGAAGGTCTGGCCCAGCATTCCTTTATCAAAAACAAAGTTTCATACACTGCACCATTCCATTTTAAACACAAGATTCTACAGAAGTTTTAGGGACCACAACTTAACTGTCCATAATTGGAAATGGAAGATATTTACTCTCTTTAGCTGATGAGTTCTTCTTGGAACTGGAAGAGAAAAAATCTTTCCCTTGGTCAAATAACCCTTCATCAGGATCTAATTCTTCATAAAAAATGGTTAACTTGGGCTTGTCTTCCTTGGCTGCAGGAGGCGTGGGCTTCTTATGTTTTTTAGATCTAGAAGTACAAGAAACAGGAAAAAAGGTCAGCTGATATGTCTTATGTTATAAGAACAATCAAGCAATTCAGACAAAAATGGAAGTAAGAAGTACATTAAAAACTACAGGACAATGTAGCACTTTAAAGACTAACAAGATGGTTTATTAGATGATGAGCTTTCGTGGGCCAGACCCACTTCCTCAGATCAAATAGTGGAAGAAAGTAGTCACAACCATATATACCAAAGGATACAATTTAAAAAAATGAACAAATATGAAAAGGACAAATCACATTGCAGAACAGAAGGGGGATGCGGGGGTGGGGGGGTGGGAAGGGGGAGGAAGGAAGGTAAGTGTCTGTGAATTGCTGATATTAAAGGTAGGGAGAGTGGGATGTTTGTGAGTTAATGGTATTACAGGTGATAATTGGGGAAACTGTCTTGGTAATGGGTGAGAAAGTTCAAAGACTTGTTAAGTCCTTGTTGGTAAGTGTCGAATTTTAACATGAATGACAGTTCAGAGGATTCCCTTTCAAGTGCAGATGTAAAAGGTCTTTGTAGCAGAATGCAGGTGGCTAAGTCATTTAGAGAGTGTCCTTTCTGGTTAAAGTGGCAAGAAACTGTTTTCTCTTTGTGATCTTGTCTGATATCTGTTTTGTGGGCATTAATCCTTTGGCGAAGTGTCTGAGATGTTTGTCCAATGTACATAGCAGACGGACACTTTCGGCACATGATAGTGTAGATTATATTGATCTTAAGATCAAGAACACATATTCCTGCGCATCCAGAAATATAATCTACGCTATCATGTGCCGAAAGTGTCCGTCTGCTATGTACATTGGACAAACATCTCAGACACTTCGCCAAAGGATTAATGCCCACAAAACAGATATCAGACAAGATCACAAAGAGAAAACAGTTTCTTGCCACTTTAACCAGAAAGGACACTCTCTAAATGACTTAGCCACCTGCATTCTGCTACAAAGACCTTTTACATCTGCACTTGAAAGGGAATCCTCTGAACTGTCATTCATGTTAAAATTCGACACTTACCAACAAGGACTTAACAAGTCTTTGAACTTTCTCACCCATTACCAAGACAGTTTCCCCAATTATCACCTGTAATACCATTAACTCACAAACATCCCACTCTCCCTACCTTTAATATCAGCAATTCACAGACACTTACCTTCCTTCCTCCCCCTTCCCACCCCCCCGCATCCCCCTTCTGTTCTGCAATGTGATTTGTCCTTTTCATATTTGTTCATTTTTTTAAATTGTATCCTTTGGTATATATGGTTGTGACTACTTTCTTCCACTATTTGATCTGAGGAAGTGGGTCTGGCCCACGAAAGCTCATCATCTAATAAACCATCTTGTTAGTCTTTAAAGTGCTACATTGTCCTGCATTTTGCTTCAACTACCCCAGACTAACACGGCTACATTTCTATCACTATTAAAAACTACAACATTGTTACATTTGGTTACAATTGTTTTCTCCTTTTCAGAACTGTTCATTCATATGGGAATAAGAACAGCAGACTCCTGAATACATTTCAGCACCACTGGGAATGGCTTGACTGCCACAGATTGGCATGGATTTATTTGGCCATGCTGCAGACACTAGGTGCCTTCTCCACGATCAACACTACCTTTGAAGCTGAGGGAAAGGCAGGCCCATGAGCCCAAATCCTTTTAGTCTTTGTAACACTCTGACCATAGGTGCGAACTCCGTGGGTGCACCATGGAAAAAATGTAGTGGATGTTCAGAACCTACCAGAAGCCATCTCTTCCCTCTTCCCCCCAGCGCCCTGCCTTGCCAGCAGACCTGCCAATGAACTCTCTCCCGCCCTCCCAGCGCCTTCTACCCATTGTGATCAGTTGTTTCATGGCATGCAGGAGGTGCTGGAAAGGCAGGAGCAGAAATAGGATGCACTGCAGGAAAAGGGCTGAACTGGGCAGAAAAAGGTGCAGTGGCGGCAAGAAAGAGGCGGGACAAAGGTTGGACCTTGTGGAAGGGGGTAGCGTGGGGGTGGAGCCAGGAGCTGAGCACTGTGGCAAAAGGTGGAAGCCAGTGCCCGTGTATTTTCCTCAAATACTCAGAGGCATCCACAGAAAGTGAGAAGAACAACTGTGACATCCTCACAAACCACTGAGCCACTCAGAAGATGGCGGCCATGTTCTGTATTAGCTGAAGCTTTAAGGCAGCCGTCACATTTATTACTAGGGACCACACATTAGAGAAGGGCAGCCTGAGGTAACAAAGGGGAAAATTCAAGAGAGGTGGGATGTGGGAAGCCAGAAAAAAAGGAAGGCCAAAGAAAATCTTTGGATGAGAGAATTTAATTGAAAACAAAAGAATTCATGAGAGCATCAAACCATGTGCATGGAATCTGCTGTTAGCTAGACCTACACATACAATAGTCATGTTCTCACAAGGAAACCATTCCCAGAGAGTAGTTATTAACGGTTCACAATCCTGCTGGAAAGGTATAACAATTGGAGTTCCACAGGGGTGTGTTTTGGGACCGATTCTATTCAATATCTTCATCAATCATTTAGATATCGGCATAGAGAGAACACTTACTAAGCTTGCAGATGATACTAAGCTGGGAGGGGTTGCAACTACTTTGGAGGATAGGGTCATAATTCAAAATGATCTGGAAAAATCAGAGAAATGGTCTGAGGTAAACAGGATGAAGTTTAATAAAGACAAATGCAAAGTGCTCCACTTAGGAAGGAACAATCAGTTTCACAAATACAGGCAGTCCCCGACTTACGCGGATCCGACTTATGTCGGATCCGCACTTACAAACGGGGCTTTCTCGCCCCGGAGGTCGAGGTAGCGGATTCAAATGCAAAGTGCTCCACTTAGGAAGGAACAATCAGTTTCACAAATACAGGCAGTCCCCGACTTACGCGGATCCGACTTATGTCGGATCCGCACTTACAAACGGGGCTTTCTCGCCCCGGAGGTCGAGGTAGCGGATTGCTACCTGCGACCTCCGGGGCGGGCAATTGCCATTCACTTCACTGTCAGAGCAGATCTCATTCTGGTATTCTTGTGCTTCAAGGTGGGGGAAAGCCATATACAAACTTTCATGAGAGTGACCTTACATATATAAAAGTTTTGCAGCTCTTGCCAGTCATCCCATAACTATGCCATCCCACCATTATGTGCTTCTCCGATAGCACCAGAACCAATGTCCCTATGTGTCCAGAGAATTGAAAGTTGGCAGCATTTCCAGTTGCTCAACCCAAGTGCTTTGCAAAAGAATATGTTCATGGCCTGACGAGATTCTTCCTCGCTCCAGCGGACCCTGGACATGCTCTAAGATAAGGCTCACTCTGAGTAATATGATTATCGTAATGCTTTGATGCTCAACAGAATCCATGATGGAGTCCATGCTATGTGCTATATGTGGATAACAAGGGGAAAAAAGTGTGTGAAGTGATTGTTTACCACTGCTTTCAAGTGGTGGGGTGAAGGGGAGGAGATGAGTGCACTATGAGATGCTGACGACATATCCCCAGAAGCACTCACTGCATAGTTTTGGTTCCAGTTTACACTGGGAACATAACCCAGAATGCAAGGGGCGAAGTAACTGTGGGATAGCTAACCAGAATACATAACTCTCAAAACTGACAGTAGCCCCCATGTGGACATGCTACTTTGAATTGTGTCAAATTCATGTGAACAGTAGGAACATGGACCTTGACAAAATCAGGTGCTACAAAAAACTGACCTTAGTAAATTTGCTCTTATCTCATAGTGTAGACATGGCCTAAATGTGCAATTTAACTTTCCAGACTACTGGTGTGGAAGTTCATAACTAGCTCTTCTTTCACCCCGTCAGCTTTCTGCCTCTGTAGCATCAATAAGCCATCTAGCTTCACACTCAAATCCCCAATATTAATACAAATATCCAATATGAGAATGAGTTTATCACTACTTCAGTCTTTTGTAAGTATGTCAACCAGACCTGCTAAACTTTCCATCATCTTTGTAATGTAATTTTTGGTCTGCATCTTCAACTTGAGCGACGAGGAGTCCTGTGGCACCTTATTGTAAGGGGACTGTTACCCCTTACTAAAACTCTGTGGGAGTTTTTTGGTTTACCAGCTTCCGAAGGGGAAGGGTTCATGAGACTGACAGACCCCAGAGACAATGGAAAGCAGTCAACACTCCAGCTCAGCCTGACTGACAGGTTGTAAGTGGGGATTGTTCTGGCTCTCTCTCTCTGAGCAAACAGGGAGCTGAAAGAGCAGAGCGAGCTGTGTGCAGGAGAGGTCCTGCAAAGACAGAGATCTGAAAGAGGAGTACAAGAAGAAGTCCTGCAGCGACAGAACCAGACACAGACAGGCCAAGCAGTGCAGACCCTGTGTTGAGCAGCAGACTGGCAGTGCTCAGAAAGCCAAAAGGAACAGAGAAACAACACAAGGAGCTGGAACTGGCCAAGCAGCACAGCCTGCAGCTGGATGTGGTGAGCTACTGGGACCTGCAAAGTGTGGGGAAAGGCTCTGGACTGGGAGAGGGGTCTGGCCACTTAGAGCTTGAGGCTGTGTGGTCACTGCCAGAGCAGGCGTGTCCAGCCTGCAGCCCCCTGCAGCACATCCAGGGCCTCTAAGGGGCCTCTAAGGAAGAGACTGTGGACTGTCCTTACACTCTGCAGGCTGCTGTTTTGATGTCTCTGTGCTACAGAGCAGGGCTGTGTATTCTCATTTAACCATTCTCATTTTTTCTTATTCTTTTCTCTTTAATCAGTTGATGTTTAATAAATTGTATTTGCTTTGAACCTTATGAAGTGATCACTGGGCCAAGAAGGCCTACAGTGTAAAGAGAGCACCTCGGAGTGGGGACACCCTAACTCCTGCCCCTAGTGACTACAAGGTCGGGGATTAAGCCCCAGAAAACCTGGGCCCAGCCTTGTTGGGGTTTCAAGGGCTCTGCTACTCAGGAGAGTGGAGGGGGAGCCCTCAGGATCAGGGAGTCCGTGGGGTAAAGGAAGTGGGAGCGGGG